TCAGGAGGTAGAGTGGTCCGTTCACCCTAAAAGTCCTCCTTGGTCACAGCTTGGCAGCAGCAGCCTGCTCTTCCTTTTCAGTCTCTTTGGGGTCTTTGCAGAAGTAGAGATCAGGCATGACCTCCCACGAGCGTTCACAGGAGACAGCGCTGCACGTGCACAGATTGTTCCAGGCCAGCACCCACCACATCAGACCCACTGAGCGAGCTCCCTTGTTGCATGCAATGGCAAAGTCCACATGGCACAGAGAAGAACCTGTGTCACACAGAGCATGGGTAGGTGAACATAAGACACCTCTGTGAGAGGCTGGTGGTCAGCCTCGGGGTCAGTAGCCACCAGCAGATGTAGCTTCTGGAAGGCTGCCTGGACCTGGTTAGTGGAGGTTCCAGGAGTGGCTCCAGGGGCAGCCGCAAATGTCAGCACAACCTGCTGGCCAGTAGTCCTGGAGGACATGACACTGACATTAGCTGGGTTATTGATAGCAGCAGTGGTATGACCTGTCGGTAGTAGCTTCTCCGGGTCCTCTTCAGATTTATGATGCAGATGTCATCACTTTTCCTTTTGCACATGTACTGTCCCATTCTGACATCAAGGTTGGTGCCACCTAAGTTGGTTCCTGCCACAAGGAATTGGAGGATGTCCTCCTCCTTGATTTGCAGGAGCTCAAGGGTTTGGACAGTGTAAAACTTTCCCTTTAAGTCACAAGAGGAATCCAGAACAACTCTGGTTGGACCCCTCTTTGGGTAGTGTGGAAAGGCCATTTAATAATTTTAGAATTTATCATTGGTAGAATTTTATCAAGTAAAACACAGTACATATTCCAAGTTGTGAATTATCCCAATCATGCACTTTATAATCCTTTTTTCCTGATCCAGGATCAATTCCTGCATCATGCATTGAAGGTTTCTGTTCATTTTTGTTTTGTTCGTCTGTTTTATCTTTCTGCAGGGAAATTCACTTTTTTTCTGGCAGGTGGCTAGGTTAGCAGATCACCTTAATTTACTCTGGGCTTGAGGAAATTCAAGGCTGGGGACAGTTCCTCTAGGACAATTCTGTTTCTGGTTCACCTTTACTTTTAGGGTATAGCTCTTTGGGGTCCCCACTGCAAGCCTAAAGTGTTCACCAGGGCCTCTCTGCGTGAACTCTGAATTCCATCCTGTGGCCCCATGAGTCCACCAAGAACCCTGCAGTTATGATTGGAATGCCCTCTGGTGCTTTGGAGCCCAGGTCCAAATGCTGGCCTCACCACTCTGGGAAACCTTTTCTCCCAAATCTTGGCCCTGTAAATCTTTGCTGCCTTTGTAGCTCTCCAGTGCTGCAAACAGATTTTGCACCATGCTGTCCAGCTTTGCTAGTTGTTCTCAGGAGGAGGGTTAGACTGAAACAACTGTTTCCATTGCTGGAAGCCCTTCTCTTCAGTTTTGGCCTGGTGATTCCTCAATCTTTTCAGTTCTGCAATTCTTTTAAGATTTGTTTTTAAGATGATTTATCCACTGCTTTTAGTTGTTTCCTCTGGAGTGTTTGGACCGAATCGCAGCCTGCTATTCCTGGAAAGAGATGTTTCTGTGCTGTCATTTTTTTTCTTGGCTTTCCCTCCCTTTCTTACCTTTTAGTTTTTTATTGAAATTTTTTTTTTGTATTACATTTTTACCTTTCTGCTGGCTTGGAATCTATACACTCTCTTTTAAATGGCTATTACGTTTTACCTTGCAATTTCAGTATAAGAAAACCTAATGTTAGACAATATCTTAACCCCCTCCCCAAAATAGAAAAGTCCCAGAGCACTGTGACTCTGATGACCCTCTGCACAACTTGTGGGCTATTGCTGTCCAGTATTTCAGTTTTCTTCTTTTAGACTGTTCCTTTCATTATTATTTTATACAATGTTTGCTTGGAGTCACATATGTACATTGGACTATAGTTGTCACACCTGGGGGATTGGTTCTAGGACCTCTGAGGTCACCAAAATCCACAGATGCTGAAGTCCCAGATACAAAATGGCGTAGTATTTTGCACACAACCTACACACACCCTCCCACACACTTAAATCATCCCTAGAGTACTTATACCTAATACAACGTAGATGCTATGCAAATAGTTGTATTGTTTTAAATTTTGTATTATTTTTATTGTTGTATCATTGTTTTGTTTTGGAGACAGGGTCTCTCTCTGTCACCCAGGCTAGAGTGCAGTGGCGTCATCATGGTTCACTGCAACCTCCAACTCTGGGGCCCAAGTGAGCCTCCTGCCTCAGCCTCCCGAGTAGCTGGGACTACAGGCGCCACCGCGCCAGGCTAATTTTCCTATTTTTAGTAGAGACGAGACGGGGTCTTGCTCTTGCTCAAGGTGGTCTCCAACTCCTGAGCTCAAGCGATCCTCCTACCTCGGCCTCCCAGAGCGTTAGGATTACAGGATCACGTGACCCACCGCGCCCTGGCATTGTTTTGGTTTTCTAAAAAATATTTTCAATCCGCACCTGGTTGAATCCACGCACGCAAAGTCCGCGGATTCGCTGCTCCATCGGAGCCTGGGGCCACCTTGGGCCATCCTGGATCCTGCGCTTCCTCTGCGCCCCTCACCCAACCCAGCTAGTCCGGCCCAGAGCTTCGCCTCCGCAGGCACCTGCGCCAGACCCCTCCCCGCCGCCCGGCCACCTCGGGACTGAGCCCCCGGCCACCCGACCAGCCTGCCGGCGTCCCCTGCCCTCGGGCTGTTCCGGCTCCGGCCCGACCCGCTTGGAGCACGAACAAGACAGGGGGCTCGACACACACCCCACGCCGGGACCAAGCGTTCCTCGGAGAGCTTTTCCCGAACTTAGTCGCTCGGACCCCACGACCACCTCCGCAGTAGGACAGCCGCGGGGAGCAGGGGCGGAGGAGCCGTCCGGTCCCGCCCCGCCGCGGTCCCGGCGAGGCCCCGCCCCGCGGCGGCGATCACGTGGGGGCGCGCCCGGACCCCGACCCGGAGGCGGAACCCGCCGGCTCCCGGAGGACGGAGGTGCGCGCTGACAGAGTGGGCTGTGCAGGTCCGGGGGCGCCCCCAGCGGCCCCGCACCCCGGCCGTGTGACCCCCGCGACCTCGCGACCCCAGTGATCCCGGCGCCCCGGCCATGCGAGCTCCGCAGTCCCGCGCCGCCCGCGCCCGGGTCGTGTGCCCCCGCGCCGCGCTGCTCGCGCTCCTGGCTGCGCTCCCGGCCGCCCTGGCTGAAGTCCCGCACCTGGTGCGTGTGGACGCGGCCCGTGCGCTGCGGCCCCTGCGGCACTTCTGGAGGAGCACGGGCTTCTGGTGAGCGCTCCGCTCAGGGAAACTGAGGACCGAGCCTCCCACCCGCCCCTATCTCCCCGCTCGCTCTTCCCAAACCCGGGGAGCCCATCCTGCCCCTGGCCTCTGGGACCCTCTTGTCGCATCTGGGGAGACCTTCTAGCTGGCTTGCCTGTGGTCTTGAGTACAGTAGGTGCTCCCGAGAGAGGACGGAGCCCTTTGCTCCTCCCTGTGCCATCCACCTCGTGTGGTGCAGGCCTGGGGCATCCCTGAGCTTGCCCAGTGGCCCCTAGGAGACTGAAGAAGCTTGTGGCTGCCCCCAGGGGCTCAGGACACTGCTTGTTGTTGAGGCAGACCAGGAGTCTCCCAAGGGGGGCAGCTCCAGGGGTGTAAGATGCCCCTGCAGTGGGACCTGACCCCTGTCCTGTGTGTCCCCAAGCCCCTCAAAGTAGGCTGAAAGTCTCCTGTATGGTAGGACAATGGGTGGGGTTGGAACATGGTCTTCTGTCCTGTGGGAGCTCCCTTCCTCCAGAAGACAAGACTTCACAACGTTCCTGGCATTAGGGTCATTTTATTATTCACTGAGTGGACAAGCACCAGTCCATCGCCTGGAGCCCCCACCAGTCATGGGTCCTGGATTTATAGGGGCCAGATGTGTAGGGAGGCTGCACTGCTGGGCAGGGCCCAAGGCTCAGGACTAACACAGCCACCCCTTCTGTTCCCCAGTCCGCCGCTGCCACACAACCAGGCTGACCAGTACGTCCTCAGCTGGGACCAGCAGCTCAACCTCGCCTACGTGGGTGCTGTCCCTCACCGCGGCATTGAGCAGGTCCGAACTCACTGGCTGCTGGACCTCGTCACAGCCAGGTGGGTGGTGCAGGGGTGGGCCTCCTGGGGCAGCTGGCCAGAATCCACCTTACAGAGAATATGGCGAGGCCAAGTGAGGAAGCCGGACTGGCCTCATGCTGTGTTGGACAGTGCGGGGCCAGGGCCGCTGCTTGGAGGACCCATTGCCCTTACACTTCCTGTCACAGCATCCTGTTGGGGAGGGGAGGTGGGAGGACGTTCTCAGTGGCTGTGCTGCAGGTGGGCCAGTGGGGCAGTGTATGCTGGGGACAACTGCTGGATGAGGCACAGCTGGCTTCCCCCTGGAGGTCACCTTGGAGGTTCAGGCCTGCTTGGTGTTGTGTGGCTTGTGGCTTTGTGTGTCAGGCCTGAGTGCTGGGCTGAGGTGCTATTGCTCACGCCACCTTTGGCCCTGACACTGGACCTCCTTGCCTGGAGCAGGCTGTCACCCTGAGGGTGAGGCATAGGGCAGGAGCAGGGGCAGGGCACTTGGGTGTGGAGGGCTTAGAGAAACATAGAGCTCCTCATGCCCTTGGCCAGAGTCGCCAGCCCCTACCCTGTGGGGCAGAGGCTGGACAGGCCCTGGGATAGTGTGTCCTTTTGGCACCTTGGAGGCTGCATGATTTGCAGGGGCCCTTGTTCAAATAAGACAGTGACAGAGTGTCAGGTCAGGCACAGCACTTCTGGGCTCAAGCTGAGGGACTACATGGGTGGCTGGCATCACGGGCAAGCCGGCATCCTGGGGGCAGCACTAGTCTCAAAGGTGAAGGATCTTGATTATTGAGTGTCTGGGGTCCTTGTGTGTGATCAGAGTGCCCCCTTCCCCTTCCCCAGTTGGGGTTCCCTGGTTTCCCAGGGCAGAGGTGGTGCAAGAGTGCACCTCTCTGGTGACTCCAGCCCTTGGCATCGCTCCCCAGGAAGGATCTCAGCGATGGCTGCAGATCTGCACTGCAGGCTCCCAGGAGGGAGTAGTGAGCAGGCCCTGGCCCTGCTAGAGGGTGGAGTCAGCAGCCGCCAGCTCCCCACGGCGGGCTCGTGCCGCCAGAACGGCACTGTGCACGCTGTGGAATAGCTGTTCCTCCTCAGCCACGTCCCCCTGGTCCTCCCTGAGGAAGCCACCTCTCCCCAGAGCATCCCTCACTGGGGGGCTACAACAGGCCAGGACCAGGCTGATGCCCAGGGCCTTATAGTCTTGGCGCAGACCCTGCAGTGTGGCCATGCCAGTCGTGTCCAGGAACAGCAGCGGGGCACAGTCGATGACTACCGTGTGGAAGCTGGCCGCTGTGGGCACCAGCGCGGCCCTGCTGCTCCCAGGGCCATCTTTGCTCTCGACAGGGTCTCTTTCGCCGGCCCCCGCCTCTGAGCCCCGTTCCTTCCTTCTGGCAGCCAAGCGCCCTGCGTCTAGCCCCGTGAGGCTGTAGAGGGACTGCAGGAAGAAGTCCTTGTTGGCATAGTAGAGTGGCCCTGAGAAACGGAACACCTGGACCCTGGGCTCGGGGATGAGGCCCTCGAATTCTGTGGCATCCTCGTAGAAGGCCGAGTCCCCGACGCGGGCGAGCAAGGCAGCATGTGGGCGCTGTGTACGGCCCACCAGGCTGAGCAGTGAAAGGATCACGCCGGCCAGCAGCCCAGCCTCAGTGCTGACCAGCACGCAGGTGGCCGCAGTGCCCATCCAGACCAGCGCGTCAGCTGGGCTCAGCCGCCACAGCTGAGGGAGATCCCTCACCTTGCGCAGGGCCCCACGCAGGCTGACAACAATGACACACGCCAGCACGCTCCGCTGCAGGTCCTGGAACAGTGGTGCCAGCACCAGCAGCACCAGCAGTACGACAGCAGCGCTGACCACGCTGGACAGCTGCGTCCGGCAGCCAGTGGAGGTCTTCACCAGGCTCTTGGCAAGGGCAGCGCTGGTGGCGAAGCAGTGGAAGAAGGCAGGCAGCACGTTGCAGCAGCCCACGGCCAGCAGCTCCTGGTTGGCGCGGATGGAGTAGCCATGGTTGTGGGCGAACATCTCCGCCAGTGAGATGGAGAAGGCCGAGCCCACGAGGGCCAGGGCCACGGCATCCAGGGCCACACGCTGCATCAGCTCTGGGTCTGGCACCCGTGGAGCCACAAAGCCAGTGGGGATGTTGCCAGCCACACTTGAGCCAAAGCGCTCATGGAGCTGCCCAAAGTGAGACACGAGCGTGGCCACCACGATGACCAGAAGCTCTGTGGGCAGCGGCACCCTCAGGCGGTGCCGGCAGCGGTCTGAGAGCTCCTTGGTAGCCAGCAGCACTGCTAGACACACGGTGCTGGTGACCATATCGCACACGTTGGCCTGGCTGGCGCTGCGCAGCAGGCTTAGCCATGTGCTGATCACCATGCCCGGCCCCTGGTGCCGAGGCATCTGCACACCCAGCAGGTGCCTGAGCTGTGAGGTCAGGATGGTCACGGAGGCCCCCATGGCAAAGCCGTCGAGCAGTGGCTGCGAGAGGTAGGCAGACACGAAGCCCAGCTGGAGGACGCCCATAAGGACCTGTGGACAGAGTGCGGTCAGGCCAGCAGGCCGTCCAGCAGGAGCTGCATGCCCTGCCACTGGCACCTGGTGTGGCCTGAGGGGCATAGTTGCAGCACAGAGCCTGACGACCCACTGCTCCAGCTGCATGTTTTCCAGATCAGACTCCTCCTGTGGTCTCCTGTGTTCCTTCACTGCATACTTGCACGCATGCCAGCGGACACTTGGACACACGCGTGGGTATTGCATGTGTACACCGTTGGCCATGGACACTCACTTCTTACCCTGTCGCATGCGCAGGAACCAGTTTTATTTCAGAATTGAGGCCTTTGGGCTCTAGGCATTAGAAAAGCCTTTCTTCCTATTTCCTGCACGTGGCACTGATCCCCATTGCTCTCCCGTGCAGACATGGAGCCGACGGGGAACTGGGGTGGACAGGCCTTAGGTAAGAGATAGCCAGGTGTGGGGAGACCACAGGAAGGCAGCTCTGTCCCCCAGGTTCCACCTGGGACAGAAAGCTCAGGAGGCCATGTGGGCCACAGTCTGGCTTGGCTGAGCCACAGCCACTGGCCAGGCTGACTCCCAGGATCCCTTCCCACTGTACCCTCAGCCCTCGGATGTCGGTGCCTTGCCCTGGGATGCTCTTGCATGCCCAGCTCCGCTTGTGCCTTGCTCTGCCCTCTCCGAGGCCCCAGCCTGTCCTCCGGACCTGACCCCATATTTCCTCCCAGGCTTGCCCCTGTGGTAGGTGATGGGCATCTAAGAGGGGGGTTCCCTGAGTGGCTGAGTGGCCCATCTTTACTCCCGTGCAACTGACTCCTCACCTGGTAAACCCCGGCCACCAGTGTGAGGGCAGTGGCAATGCGGATGGCGTAGCAGTCCCGCCCGCAGTCGGGTGGCCCAAGCACCAGCGTGGCAGCTGAGTTGTTGAGGTCGCTGCCGTTGGCTCTGGGCCCTGGGCTGTCCTGGGAGGGGTCGAAGCCGGCCAGCTGGAGCTCGCGGTCAACCACCTGCCCCACCATGAGGCAGAGCAGACTGAAGATGCCCACGGAGACGTGGCGTGAGGTGCCCATGAGGAAGTAGATGAGGTTGGCGAAGAAGGACGTGTAGAGGCTGTAGATGGGCTGCAGCCCGGCCAGCAGTGAGTAGGCGATGGCCTGTGGCACCAGGATGATGCCAATGACTAGACCTGACATGATGTCACCCGCCAGGTACTCCCGCGGGCGGTACTGGCGCAGCCAGCATATGGCAGGGATCAGGTCCTGCACAAGTGCCCTGGCGCGGGGCAGGCTGCACGTACAGCTCCGCAGCAGCCTGGCCTTCAGTGTTTTGCGCAGACTCTGGGGCACTGGGGGCTGCCGTCGGACCAGCACCAGCCCCCTGCCCTGCTGGAGGGGCTCAGAGGACACCTCCATCCTGTAGCGCCAGGCCCCTGAGGCCCACCTGCAACAGAGAAGTGGGCGTGGCCTTGGGGTCCCAGGGCCCAGGTCTCAATAAAAAAGTCTCAGGCAGGGGCAAGTGCTGCTACTGCCCAGGGCAGGGGTCAGAGGTTGCCCTGCTCTTGGGAACTGAGGGGACTGGGCCAGGAGGTGGTCCTGAGCCCCTCCCAACAGCATGGGCCCAGAACCCCTACCCTGTCTGGACGGACATCAGGTCCTGCTCACTCCAAGGTTCCTTTCATCTGTGCGGTGAAACATGATTACAATAATGGGCCATGTGCCTGGGGTGTGCCAAGGCCAGTGGTACCAAGGGGTGGCCCACCAGACCTCTGTAGTTCCTGCCTGAAGTCTGCCTGGAGCCTCCTGCCACTCACCTCCCCAATGGAGGGAGCAGGCTGGGCCACCTCACATGTGTGCTTCAAGTCAGACTGTCAGAGACCCAGACGCAGTGAACACACCTGAGCCCTTGCTGCTCCCTGTCCGCCTCCCTGGCCCAGCAAAGAGCCCTGCTGTCCACCCCATCCCCACAGTGGAACCCCTTCCCCTCTCCCATCCAAACCAGTGCCTGCTCCCCTATGGACACGTCGGCTGGCCCCTCCATCACCTCTGCACCTTGGTCCCTGGGACTGGCAGAGGGCATACAGGAAGGGGGTCTCCTTATGTGCCTGCCAAGCCTTATGGATACTGGGACCCCAAATCTACCAGGGGAGTGGCACTAGGGCCAGCTGGGAGGGGAGGTGGGGTGACTGGAATCCATCTCCCCTGTCCAGGGTGTTCTGGGACATGGGGGCTCTTCCTAGGTATGTGCCCAAGGCCCTGACCAGTCCACGCGGTACACAGGCATGCCGCACTGTCCCTCAGGGCAGCCTCCCAGATGGGGCCCAGTCCTCTGCAAACAGCCACGCCAGGTGAGCAGAGCTGGAACGGCACCTGCTGACATTTTCTTTGCGTTCGGAGTGCACCACTGCGTCAGGAAGGCGGTGCTTAAAGGCCAAACTGATCACTTTCGTGGCTTGGGTCTGCTCTGCCCTGTTTACAGGCTCCAAAGTACTTCTGTTTTTAAAACTCCCTGCATAGCAGTGTTGAACAGATGTTCTTTACTCCCTCAGAGCCCAGGACACAGGCCTGGGGGCTCCCTGGGGAGTGGGGGCAGTGACGGCCCCAGCCTGGCAGGTCAGCACGGGCTGGCTGGGCACAGCCTGTGTGGGCCCCAGAGCGGTGGGTGCCGGCCCTATAGGGAACGTGATGGGAGTTGTGTCCTCTTCCTCTGAAGATCCCACCACACAGGGTCCCTGGGGTCCAGGTATGCAGCACAAGGACCGCACATGCCACCTGCCTTGAGCCTGAGGCTCCTCTGAGAAGCCATGGAATCCAGGGGTCCTGGCCAGTTGTCCACAGCTCCTGCCTCCTCTGCCCCGTGAGCTGCCTCTGTGATGGCTGAGTTGTCCGGGGCCCCAGTTTGGCTCTTACCTGAGGGAGCACCTTCTAGGCTCAGAGGGCCGTGGGATGTTGAGGGATGGCCCGTCCCTTGAGGCTGCGGCCTGGCTGGACCCAGAACCCCCTGGCTTTTGTGAGCAGGTGGGAGAGCAGAGCAGTGAGTCTGGCACCGACCTGCAGGCAGCGCTCTGTGTGCTGGCATCTGCAGTTAAATTATTTACCCTAAAGATTGCTGAGTCACGGGTTCCCCCCAGGCATGTTACCTGAGCAGCTAACCCAGGGAGTTGCACTGTAATCAGGCTCACAAATCATTACAGCTGTGTGGGGCTGCAGGTGCAGCTGCGAGGCCCTGCCAGGGAGCGAGGGGGAGCAGTGAGTGGCTGTGCAGGGTGTGTGGTGTTGGGGACCCAGCTCGAGGCAGAGGCTTGTGTGCTGAGTACAGGCCACTCTCTGGGGCCAAGTGCAGTTGCCCCCTCCCCACCTGGGAGAGGATGGAGGGAGGGGCTGTCGCCTTGTCCAATCGCTGGATGTCCTCCTTGTCCTGCTAGGAGCCATTCTGGTCCAAGCTGGAGCAGGGGTGGAGGTTGTAATGGCCAGCTCGGCATGGGGCCACCATGCTCCCAGCCTCTGTCCTGTGTCCGTGTGTGGAAAGCAGACACACGGTTGTTAGTGTGTGTGCACACCCATGCATGGTTTGCATGCTTGTGTGGGCATATGCGTGTGTGGTGTGTATGGTCCAGGGCAGAGGGCTTCCTGGCATCCAGATGCCACCACCAGCCTAGCATTCCCTTCCCGCTGTTGGGGGCAGGGTCCTGGGTCTGCCTGCATTCCGGCCCAACCCTCTAAGACTGGCCAGGCACTGCCTCTGCTCTCTCCCCCACAGTAGGGTGGGACCAGCAGGACCTGCCTCCTAGGGCTGCTATGAAGATAAATGATCCCTTAAAATGAATTAAACCAGAGGCCTGGAAACTCTTAGGGCAGTGGCCCACACAAGAAAGCAGAGTGAGCTGCCATTTTTAAAATTGTCATGCAGAACCTCAGGTCCCCCATCTTTAAAGTGGATAACGGAGGTGAGCCCCCATCACTGGGTGCTTGAGGGGTAAGTGGGTTGTGAGTGACCAAGGGCTGGTTCCTTTCCAGGGAGCTGCTGCAGTCCCAAGCATGCTCCCATCCTGGAGGCAGGCCCAAGAGGCTGTGGGGGTCCCTTTGGTGGGGCTGGGAGGCCGAGCCGCCTGGGCCTGCTGTCCCTGACAGCCCAGGCACTTTGGGCAGCCTGGCTCAGGCCTGGGGACTGTGAAGTTGCCTTGTTGCCTCTCCTGTGCCCACAGGTCCTTAAAGGGGTATTCCTGCCAACAGCTAAGTGTTTTGCAGAGTCAGACATGGCCCTGGGACTGCATTCTCCCAGACAGGGGGCACTGGGGTGTCAAGGGGGCAGAGCCGCAGAGGGAGGGTGCTCCCATCAGGCACCCTGACACTTAGCTCCTTTGCAGCCTGCTGGCAAGCCCTGCCTGGTTCCCTGGAGCCATGGGCCTGGCCAGGAAAGACCCGACTACAGGTTGGCCCCATTTGGAGGTGAAATAGGAGTGGAATGTAGTTGGGGGTTGGGGTGGCCAGAGAGTGGGAAGAAGCCGTGGGTGTGAGTGGGTAGGGCCAAAGGCTCCAGCGGTGCAGACCCATGTGCACACGTGCTGGTGCAGGACAGGGTGGGGGGTGTCACCTGGGGGGCACATAAAAACCTAAGTGTGGGGAGCAGCCATCCCCCGACCAAGGGGGTGGGGATTTCCACAGGCTGGGGAGGGTCAGCCTGTGGTGGGATTTTCAGCTGGTGGGGATAGCTCAGGAGGGCAGTTTTCAGGGGCATGGCACCCCCGCCATCTCCGCTTCACTGTGAGGGCCTGGCCTTGGCAGGGATAGCGCCTGCCTCTGGTGGGTGTCCCCTGCGAGTGAGGAAATACAATTGAGATCACACCTGTAGGACCCTTGGGGCCTAACCCCCTCTTCTTGACCTATCGCTCTGCCTCAGTTTCTCTGCCTGTGTGCTGAGGCCAGAGGCTGTGCTGCTGTGTGCCAGCTGTCCAGGGGTCCTGGACAGCTGGTCAGAGAGGGTGGGCAGGCCCCCTCGCCCCCGTGCACCTAGCTGCTCCCCACGTAGGGAGGAGGACAGGGTCAAATTTGCCTGAACCACCTTCCCACTGGACCTCCTGTCAAGTCCTGGCCCTAAGGTTATTTCCTTAATTTTGTCTTGGAATCAACCGTTTTAAGTTGGAGCACATTTATTTGGAAAGGAAACATTGTATCTGTACCCAGGACCCGTGGAAAGAGGCCAGGCCGACAGGGCTCTGGGCGCCAGACCCCACTTTCTCTGGAATGACCCGCCCGTGTGCGCCGTGCTGGGGTCCCGGAGAGAAGACGGAGGCCCGGGCTGACACCCCTGCCCCAGTGCCCAGGCCGCGCCGCAGGTTCTCCCACGGGGATCTGTGTCGGTCTGGCCGCACTTCGCACACCGTCCCCCGCTCCCGCCTGGCGAACGCGACTGCCGTCTGTCTCGCTTCCCTCAACCAGGGGACCTCGCGGCTCGTTCGTTCCCCACCCCGCGCTTGTCCCCCGCCTGCGCTGTCCCTATGCACGCGCACCCCCGCCCCCACCGCCGAGCACGCGCGGCCCCGGCCTTGCCACACTCACCGGGCGGGCTGTGGCTCAGCCTCGCAGCGCAGGCGCTCAGGCTTGGGGCGTGGGCCCGGGGAGCGGGCGCGGAGAACGAGCCGGCAGGGTGGACCTGTCCTTGGGCCTCCGGCCCCGGGTTGGGCGATGGCCCAGTCTGCGTTTCCAAGCCACGCCGATCCGCAGGGGGTGTGGGGGTGGGCTGCGCACTTGGTCTCCCCGGCTCAGCCCCCCTCTAGTCTGGGTCTCTCAAATTCCCCTCCCGACGGGGACCGAGGCGGAGGGAGACCGTGGGGCAGGCGGACTACTCCCTTTTCCTTGGCCTGGGGTCGCCCCTGGGGGCGGTATCCTGGTCCCGGGCATCATAGCGGCGAGGCTGGCCAGGCCAGCTGACACTCAAGTCCACCGTGGTGACAGGCTGGGGACATCTTTGACGCTGGGGCTCCCCCCGCTGGCGGCCCAGCCGGCCCAGCACCGGGACGGTGTTGACCCCAGGCCTGTGTGCGCAGGGCCCAGGTTATTACCTTGGGATCTGCGAGAAAGCCTGGAGCTGCGCCAGCACCTTCACTTTCCACCCGGCTGCGCCTGCCTCTGCCCCACCCCCACCTGTAGGACTTTGAAACCCATCCGCTGGGCATTTAATTTTTACCCAAGTACTTGTTAAGTTTTACTTCTTAGCTACTGGTGTGACCTTTGGATGGGAGGGACGGTGGCGGGGGTAGGGTGGAGAGGGCTCCGCTGTGCACCTGCTGGCGTCCGGGCCCTGGCATAGGAGCCGGTGAGCGAGCAGAGGGCACGGCGGGAGGAGCAGGGGCTGCTACCTGTGCCTGTGGACGGGCGGTGCTCTGCCTTGACCGGTACAAGCAAGGACAGGGACAACCAGAAGGGAGGTTT